CAGCAGGGGGCCTGGATGCTGTCCACAACAACATCTCCTGCAAGTCTGTATCAAGGATCTGCACTGGGATGGCCCAAAGGCCAGCGGTGGAAGCTAGAAAGTCTGTGCCAGTGCAGTGAAGGATCTGGGCACCAGACTGAGGGCTCTGCACTGGAGCCAGGAAGTGACACTCAAGGACCAGAGCTCCCTCACAGAGAGCCACAGCCATCCTCACAGACGGTGAGGACCCGAGCTCCTCTGAAGTTGAGAATTCCTGAATTCGCACCAGGAAAGCCAGGGCAACAAGGCTCTCCAGCAACAGCATGCCAGCCTCCCCTCCAATTCTCCCTTTCTGCTCTTGGCAACAATCCTCAGGAGGGTCTGCCACACCCAAAACCACATTTTCTCGGTTCAGCTGCGTGTTCCACATTGATCATCAGTTAATCCGCCACAAAACCCTAATGAAAATGAAAATTCTAAAAATATAAGAAAAACCAGAAAAAAATATATATAGAATATACCTTAATTCTACTATGGAGCAATAAATCAGAACTTCTTACATTTTGATGTCATTTTTTATTGAGAAATAAAGAACATAACAAAAATTTGGGTCTTTGGAAGTCCTGGGCAAAAGTGCTGTGGACAGAAAGCTAGTTATGCAACAGCCCTGCGGTGGGAAAGCACTTGTTGAATTCATGAGCTAAAAGTGGGTCATTATGAACTGGAGTGTTGAAGAGCCAGGTGAGAGAGAAGGTCATGCAGACAGTTGGGCCCAGGTCATGTAGTCTTGTCAAAATTTTAATAATTTTTTCCAAGTACAATTAAGAACTTACAGAATTTGAGGCAGAAGAGGAGATATATAGCTATTGTCCTTCTATTCTTGTTTTACCAGTAGTATTTTAGTAACCAAGTAAAGTTTTTACATTTTTTTTAATTTTATGTATTTGGTCAGGGTCTCACTACACAGTTCATACTTGTAGTGACCTTCCTGTCTCAGACTCCCCAGCACTGCGATTACAGGCATGTACCACCACACCTATTACAGGCGTGTGCCACCACATCTGGTCATAGTTGTTATATTTTGTTGTTGTTGTTGTTGTTACATTTTTGAACAGATGCCTTTTTAGTACCTATCACAGTTAATAGCTTAATACTGAATCACACTGGCCTCCTTTAGCAGAATAACCTAATATTGGTGTGCTAATATTTGACGTAGGCCTTTGTGATTATGTTTATCAATAATATTGGCCCACAGCCTCTTAGGACAGATAGGAGCCAAGCCCATGAGTTATATGGAAGTATGGTATTCAATTTTCAAGTGTCTAAACATTTTTCTCTTATCTTTCTGTCATTAGTTTCTAGTTTGATTTCATTGTGGTCAGAAAACACATTGCATACGATTTTAATCCCATGAAATTGACTGAGTGTCATTGCATGGCTCTAGAATGGTCTATTTTGGCATATGCTCTTTGGCACTTGAAAATAATACTTGTTCAGCTATTACTGAACAAAGTGACACAGAAATGACAGATGCCTTCAGTTACTGGTATTATAGAGCTCTCCTGTATCCTTAATTTTCTGTCTAGTTGTTTTAACCATTGTTCAAGAAGGGGACCTGAACTCTCCAACTATAATTGTGGCTCTACCTATGTCCCTCTTCAGTTGTATTTGATTCTCTTCTATAGTTTACACCTCAGTTGTATGCACATAAGAAGCTATGTGTTCTCCATAGATTGAAACCTTTATCATTATATAACATCCCTCTCCATTTCTGTTAGTTTCCTTTGGTCTAAAATCTACTTTATGTAAATTAATGTAGCCCCTTCTCTTTCTTGTCACTAACACTTCACTTTCTTTTTTATAATTTTTCTTTCTACCTGCTTGAGGTATGTTATATTCCATGTTTCAAGAGAATTTCTTGTGTGGGTACCATACAGTTGGGTAATGTTAATTTTGAACCCACTTGGCAAATTTTTGTCTTTCAACTGATGTATTTAGAATGTTTATATTTATTGTAATTGTGGAAATGTGCAGGGTTTTAGGGGAGGGTTTTGTTTTGTTTCTGTACCAGGAATTGAACTCAGGACCTTGCACTTGCCTGACAGGCTCTGTATCACTGAGCTCTATCCCCAGCAAAATGTTCAGAATAAAGGCTGCTATTTTAATTTTCATTTTCTACTTCTTCTTTCTGTCTTCTTGTGAGTTCCTCAAATGATCTAACTTTTTGGAGTGCATCTTTTTCAGTAGTTTTTTAGTGGCTGCTCTCTGTATTGCATTACTTAAAAAACATCTTGTTTTCTTGTTTCCATCCTATTGACAGTTCAAACGAAATATAGGAAGGTTATCTCTGTTTAAGGAACCTATTAAAATAGAAACTGTGGGGCTGGCAAGACAGCTCAGTGGTCTAAAGCGCCTGCTTAGGCAAAATGCAGGGACCATGGTTCCAACCCCCCAGCACCACATGCCGGCCAGGGCCGCCCCCAGGATGGGCTGAGCCGGCCACACAAAAATAAATTAATTTAATTAAATAGAAACTGTGATTATCTTCTTACCACTTTATAAAAGATAGACTTTATTTTCTGAGATAATGGACATTGATTACTATGATGATTTATGGTTATATTACACAATGAGACCAGAAGTAATATTAGCTAAACCTAAGGTGTTCATTCGAATATCTCTTAGTACTTCTGTGAGCAATAATAAGAACATTTAGTCATTAGTAACTAAGAACTCAGGCCCTGCGTGGATGAAGATCTTAGTCATTTTATCAGGCGTGATATCCTAGTCACTTTTCTCATTATTGTGCCCCAATAAGCCAGTCAATTTCCAAGAGCTCCTCTTCTGAGAGCATAAAGCTCTTGGGGACACTTCTAGATAAAAAAAAATGACACCTTCCAACGCAATAGTGTAGTTGAGGGAAATCAAGAATGGGTAGTGGAAAGTGGGGGTACATACTTCAGTTACATCCTTGAGACAACCTAAAGGACTGGGAACTCTATCTTGTTTCACTACATTTGTATTTAAATCTGTTCCAGCTCACAATTGGACACCACCTTGGAGGGAATTCTGAATTACAGGATACATACTCTTACTTGGAAAAGTGAGGCTGACTAAATTTTAACAAAAACAATAGATGAAGGTCCCATATTATAGGGTGGGAAGGAGCTGGATAAAATGAAAACCTACAAATGAATCAGAGTGACTGATGGCAGGGATTATATGAAACACCAGCCTTGCACACTGCCTGAGCCTCTCTTGACTGGCTCCTTTCTGAAGGCATCAGCTGCCCCTTGAATGCTGGCCTTATCACTGCCTTATTCCTTCCAGAGACAGAGGCTGCTACTCAGCACAAGGAAAAAACGTGTGTGTGCTCCAGCACCACCTGAGGTGACTGGAATCTCGGCTGAATCTGTACGTTCTGCATGAGCTTTAAGGAGACACACTTGTAGGAAAACCAGCCTGAGCTTGTCCCTGACTGGGGAGTGAGTACAAAAAGCCAAAAGAGTTAGTTTAGGTGATGGGAGCAGGGGCCTCTTGCCTTCATTGGACAGGCACCCCCAAGTGTCTGGCTCACCCGGTCTTCATTCACACAGACATGGGAACAAGCTATTAGCATAGCAGAAGATCCATCTGCTTCCCATTACCTACAGCCCATGTCCAGGTACACACCTGGGTATCAGTAGTACTGACTTTTCCCTGGAACTTGCTGCACACCAAAACTCCTGCATGTCACCAAAGGAGCGTAACTGGCTACCTTTCTCCTTTGTGCTCATACAGGAGGTCACTTAGGGCTAAGTTCTTATTATTTGGTCTCCCCCACACGTAATATTCACATTCAGCCTGATGTATGCACATGCCGATGCCCATGACAAAGTTAACTGAAATGTATTTATTTAATCTTTGAATTGTAAGTTATCTATAAATATATTTACTAAAAAGAACATATATGACTCAGGATTGTTGAGATCTTCATTTCAAGTACTTTTAGGAAGCTACAAATACAAAAGTATTGGTATTTCATAATCTTGAGTCAGAAGTATATAATTCCTATTTTTATGCAGGGAACTTATTGACTTTGTCACCTCAAGTTATAGAATTTTGGCTATCCAACATTGACTTTCCTTGCTATTTTTGTCATTATCTCTTTTACTATGACCAGTAATCAAGATATGATAAATATAAAAGGTGCACAAATTTTAGAATTATGAGTTTGCAAAAGACACTCCTCGTGATATCTTTGTGCAAAGTTACTAATAAGCAGAATGATGTATGTCTTAATGACAAGGACATGTTCTGAGGCATATGTCACACAACTTCATCATTGTGTGAACATCATAGAACACACACACACATCTAGAAGACATAGGCCAATCATTCAACATTGCCTTTCTATTCAATCAAAATATTTAATCAGCAGGCTATATGAGGCTTTCGCCAGCCTAACACAGCGTGTTATTTTATGGTAAACTTTTACTATAAGCAGGAGTATGTTCCAAAATAATGATTAAAAGTATACTATAGTAAAATGTACAATAATAACTTAATTTTGCATTCCACTATCAACTATTATGTACTGTGCATAATTATATGACAGCACAGTAGGTTCTTGTGTACAAGCACCACCACAAGCATGCAAGTGACGCATTACGTGATGTTAGGATGCAAGGTCACTAGGCAATAGCAAGTTTTCATCTCTGTTTTAATTTCATGGGACCATGATCATATGTGTGGCCTATCATTGATTAAAACATCATTCTGAAGTACATGACTATAAAATAAATGAACAAATAAGCAACTTGGAACAGATTAATTCATAAAGTTACTATGAATGTTTTTAATTAATAATTCATTAATTCTTTATTGTCCTCAACAATATAAAACTCACAGTGGGAAACCAGGATGAAAAGTGGCATATCTAGTGCAAATAGGATTCAGAAGTGAGACTCCTGAGGTTAGAAATGTCTGGAAGACCCTCTAGGAGACAACAGAGAGCACCTTCAGTTTCTCTGCATAAATCACTAGCCCCTCAACAGGATTTTGCCTTTGAGAAGTCTTGCAAGTGCCCCCTTCATGTCCTTGTTCCGCAGGCTGTAAATAAAGGGGTTCAGCAGGGGAGTCACCACGGTGTACATGACAGCAGCTGCTGTGTCTTCTGCCACTGCATTGGAGGAAGGAGACGAGGGGCACAAGTAAGCCCTGATCACTGTCCCAAAGAACAGGCCAACCACAACAAGGTGGGAGCCACAGGTAGAGATGGCCTTGCGCCTTCCCTGGGCAGAGGGGACTCTCAGGATTGCTAAAGCAATGTGGATATAAGAAACCAGGATTAGCAAAAATGGGATTAAAATGACTGCACCTCCCAAGATTAGAAGTACAAGCTCATTGACATGGGTATCAGAGCAAGAGACTTTCATCAGAGGTCCCAAGTCACAGAAGAAGTCAGGAATGATCTTCTTAGAACAGAAGGAGAGTGGAAACATGAGGAAGGTGTGGGTCATGGCAACAAGATTTGTAAGGGCCCAGCAGGTGGTCACCATGAAGATGCAGCGCCGAAGACTCATGATCATTGTGTAGTGGAGAGGAAGGCAAATGGCCACATAGCGGTCATAGGCCATCGTGGCCAGGAGAAAGATGTCCATGTCCCCAAAGGTCAAGAAGAAGTAGAGCTGAGTCAGGCATCCTGCATAGGAGATGGACCTACTCTGGGTCCAGATGTTCACCAGGGCCTTAGGCACGGTGGTGGAGGTGAACAGGACATCTGTGCAGGACAGGTTGGCGAGGAAGAAGTACATGGGGGTGTGGAGATGCGCATCCGTGCCAATGGCCAGGACGATAAGCAGGTTCCCAGCCACAGTGATTATGTACATCCACAGGAAGAGCAAAAAGAGGGTGCTCTGCTGCTCTGGCCGCTCCGAGAGTCCCCAGAGGAGGAACTCAAAACCTTTGGTTTGATTTTCTCTTGCCATGAGCCATGAGATCAGAGAAAAAGATCTTGAGTGATCCCCATTAAAGTTATATAAGACATCTTACTTCAAATGGCTGGGGAGGATGCTGTTCTCTGGACTCGAGGGAAGAATGACAGTGTATCAGGTATGATCAAAATATACAGTGACCCCAGAAAGAATGGCTATCATTAAAAAATCAAGAAACAACAAATGTTGGAGAGGCTGTGGGGAAAAAGGAACTCTTCTCCACTGCTGGTGGGAATGTAGACTGGTGCAACCGTCATGGAAATCAGTGTGGGGACTCCTTAGAAAATTAGGACTGGAAATCCCCTTCAAACCAGCTGTCTCCCTACTGGGAATTTTCTGAGAGGAACTGAAAATATCATATCATAGTGATATATGTGTACCTATGTTTATAGAAGCACAATTTGGGATAGCCAAATCTTGGAAACAACCAAGATGCCCATCACCTGAGGAATGGATGAAAAAGATATGGTATTTTTATACAATGGAGTATTGCTCAAAGTCTTTATATTTAAGTGGGTGCCACTTGAAGATATACTCATAAATGAAATAAATCAGACCCACATGTATAAATATTGTATAGTCTCCCTCATGTAAGAACTCTAAAGAATTAAAAATAGAAAGTTATACCACAGTTAAAAGGAAAGCGAGAATTTAAGGGTTAGACGATGAAAACAGGTCAAGGAGAAAAGCTAGGAAACATGACAGGGCAAAGCCATACATTTATAAGCACAAGATAGATAAGGCAATGATCCTGAGAATCTTCAGCAGGTTTTTGAAAGTAGCAGTTAATTGGTAGGATTCTCAACCTGACTAACTATATATGCTGATACCTGTGAAATAAGCAACTGCACTGAAGATAGCAATGTGTAATACTAGGGTCATGCTTGGAATGCATGTCATTCTGGTCTTCTAAATACATAGTTTGTCATGTCACGCCAATTACTGCCATACTGTCTCTCAAGTAAATGTTTGTTTAAAAAAGGGTAATAAATGAAAACAAGGGACAAAAAATACAGCAAATGTTTAAATTCTAAAACTGTATCACAGTAAAAGACCGTTACCACTAATCTGCCTGAAAACATGTCCCCCCCCACACGTTTCCAATACACATATCCCATCATTCTTTCCACTTTCTGAAACAGTTCTGGAAGTCCTTTTCCATGTCTTCACAACAATGTGTGATCAAAAATATGGTGAATGTGGAGGCTACTTGCCATCTGATGTAAAAACATTATACTGTGTCCACTTTATTCTCAGAACCTGGCACCAGATGACTTCTGAATCTTCTCTGATATCAGGATGACCATGAAAAGAGAAGTGACCATGATTTTCAGTTGACTCAGGATGTCACGGATGTTGTGACAGTACAACTGAAGGTATTCATGAAGGAGGACTTCCAGAACCCCTTCAGAAACTGGTGAAAACCACAGGTTAAGTGTGCTCAAGGTAAGGGGAATATTTTGAGGTGCATTAATGGCAATGTGTCTTTTACTGTGATAAATGCTATAAACTTCAACATTCATTATATTTTTCAACCACATTTCACATTTATGTTGAATTTTTTATTAAAGCCTACTAAACACTACAGTAAAAAGCCTGGGAGACCCAATTTATGATCATTGAAATAGAGCTTTTTATCTGATTTCTCTACTCAGTGATGACAAAACTTTTAGAGGCCCAAGATACAACACAAGCACACTCATTTATCACGAAGTGCCCACCCTACAACTACACCTGAATTTCAGGCTTTGGATGAAACACTGGGCTGACTTGTGGAGCAACTTGGCTTGCACGCCAACAGAGAGGGCTCCGCATGCCCACTGCGGCAGTCTCGCCATTGGCTCACCATGGCTGCTCCCACTCAAATCCATCACAATTTTTTTTAGATAAGAAATGGTTTATTGGGCCAGTCAAATAGCTCAGCGAATTAAAGCACCTGCAAGCGGGCGCAGGGGCTGGGGGTTCGATCCCCGGACTTGCCATGCTGGTCCCACCCCCAGGTGCACTGAGACAGCAATTGAGACTGGGTGTGGTGGCGTGCAACTGTAATCCCAGCTCTCAGGAGGCTGTAAACAGGCAGATC